TTGCTTTCCCTGTCTCTGTCTCTCTCCCTTTGAAGCAGACTGGACAGCTTCCTCAAGCTGGCGTTATCACTCCCTCTAACCACTCTTGGCAGGCAATCTAATTCCCCCTGAAAAGGTCACCGCCATTTTAACTGCCTTTCAATCACATTAAGCACGCTGCCGCTCGTGCTCAGAGCACTGCGCCTGCAGCTCTCCTGACTGAGGTGCGATCGATAAAGTGACATCCCGTCCCCCCACCCCATCTCCCCAACCACCCCATCCGCCGCTCGCCTCCTTCCCCTCTCCTGGACAGGCCACCTTCCCAGAACGGACGGCAAGAGACCAAGTGACAAAAACCTCTCCTCAAATGTGAAGCAGCAGAAGGGAGCCGCTAACCTGGCATTTACTAATCTTTGTCCCATCTGCTAAGAAACAGAAGGGTGCAAGCATCCCCCCTCCTTCCCTAGACCTACAGAGGCAGCAACTTCACAGGACAGTTTGCTTAGGCACCGGTCCAGACACCTTTGAAGCTGTGTTAAAAAGAACAAGCCTCCCTCAAGCTTCCCTCAATGCAATCATTACCGTTAGCTCTCCCCCCGCCCCGTCCTGCTTTTTTTTTTTTTCCCCAGTTACGAGTTATGTGTTCCACCCATCGATCCCTGTGTAAGACACTGTTTTAAGTCCTCTTGCCTTTTGACTGTGCTAAGCCGTTTAAGAGATGACAGCGGCTTCTATCAGTGCGAAGCTGATGTGATTCTTTTCAGATAAAGCACTTTTTTTCCACTCCCCCCCTCCCTTTTCCTTCTTTCAAGTAAGAGACATACACACAAAAAGAGACACTGAACCTTTCAAAGAAAAAAAACCCTTTTGAACTTCCCTCAGGAATTCTTTAAAGGGATAACCTTACAGTGTAAACACTGAGGGTAACGTGCATCCATTCTGGAGAGGGAACAGAAGAATTGCTACAAATGTTGAGCGTTAAAAAAAAAACACAGAGAGGGAGCCACTTGATGCTTTCACTTGCGAAGCCTTCTTGGCTTCCTAAACACAGAAACTCATTAGACAAAGATGGCATGAAATAATCCCCTGCAACAAAGAGCTTTGGAAAAGGATCATCCAGAGACGTGGGGATAGATGGTTACTGAACGTTCAGGTATTTCAAGAGAAATTTTAGTCTTGCGACACTGTTCTAAGATAGGGAAATATTTGATTATTACATCTGTACAGCTTTTCACTTTGAAGCACAAGCTTGATTTAAACAGCGCTTCGTATTTAATGCTGGTAGCCTTCTGTACCTATCTCAAACAGAAGCAAGAACTCTCCTGCTACAAACCCATACTTCAAGCAGGACCTCTGCTAGTTCCAAATCCTGTATAATTGCTCATAATCTTAATTTACATCCTGCAGTTTTGTGTAAGCAAATTAAGCGATAGCAAATGATGCTTTAAGAAGCCAGGGGGACAGCTAGAAGTACGAAACATTTCCTGACTGAATGCCTTCACCAAACCCAACAGCTTAAGAGACAACATACTGATCCCAGCACTTCTCAGTTACATCATATTCCTACTTGCTGCCATCTCCTGTTCTTTCCACCTGCTGCCTCAAGTATGCCAAGCCGTGGCAGGCAAGGTGTGTTTTGGCTCTGCTGCACTAGACCCGACTGGGGATTTGCAGCTGCAACACCAACACAGAAGACAAAGGATTTTCACCTTTTAAGATAGCCCCTCAGGTGAGAAGAGCAAGTTTTCTTTGCAACCCCTTTGGAAGCAAGAAAGCTTCATCCTAGGAACCACACAAGTGAGAGTTTCAGCCTGTGATCACTCCCAAGTATTAGACCACTTTCCAGAAAACCTGAGCAGGGCTGTTCGTTTCCTTGACTTTTCTGTTTTCAAGAAGAAAAACCCCAGAATCTCCCAACCTTCCCCCACCTGTAATTAGCCAAGAGTTTTTCTCACCTTGAGAGTGATATGAACTTTGCCCATTAACCAAAAATTATAAAAAGAAGCAGCCAGGACCCGTGTTAAGTTTGAGTCACTTTTATAATGCTGCCCAATGGTCTGACTCATGCAATACACGCTGGCCACAGTGTCCTGCTTCCCCTTTGCCCAGCTGTGACATCTCAAAGCAACACACCATTAAAACCAAAATTAATGAGACACACGGACATCTATTTTCCCCTCCAGTTTTATGTATTTCCCCATGTCATCTCTTTAGACACTGGTGACATCCCTGTAGCCCGGCAAAGGCTGTCTGGCATTATAAAAGGCCTTCGATTTCCACATCACTGCTACTTCTCAGCAAAGGGAACAGAGCCAAACACAAAGCCTCGGGTGACGGGGGTTAACGAGGGCCTTGCCAACTCCACACAAAGCAGTTTTAAGCATTGGAAAGCATCTCCAAAACGTGCTGTGCTTCAGGGCTCCAAATTAAGAATTCTGTCCTTAAAACAAGGCAAGAGCCAACACTGGCAGTGAAAGGAAAAAGACCTTAAGGTTACCTGAGAGTGCACAAAGCAGGCCTGACTTATGGAGACCTCTGAATGCCAGCAGCCAAAGACAATATGAGAACCACAAAAGGGAGCATGAAAAATGTGTAACTTGCTTAAAAAGAAATACAATCAGCCAGCTACGGGAGATCATTCCAGCTTTGCTTTGGCTTCCTAAATTTTTCAGAAACTTCTTGCACAGAGTAGGTAGGTACCCTGCAGGTATTATCTGCTCATCCCAAAATACTAGGTAGAAAGTTGGTGGCAAAAAGTTCCCCCATTTAGGGAAGAACACACCTCTCTAGAGGAGTACGGCAGCTGTTGAATCCAGCTGCCAGCAGAGGTGTGCTCCAGAGGAGGAAGGGCAGCGAGAAACGCATGTGCTAGGGACCTGCCAGCTGCTCAGGCGGAAGCATTTCTTCAGCAGTGGCTCTGCCACCAAAAGCTGCACAGAGAGGATGCTCCTCACCACAAAAGCTACAGGAAGGTTCCTGTACTTGCGAGCTGATCTACAGACATCTTTCATCCAGCAACACAAAGGGAAGGAGTCTAATCCAAAAGCCTTCCCATCAGGGTAATTATGGAGGGTTTTAGAATTGCATCTAGTTGTGCTCTACTCTTCTCCTAGTCTTCTGATCCTTTGCTGGATCCGTTCATGTAACTAAATGCTCTTGAATGTGTCATGAAGGTCTCAAAAAGGAAAAAAGAGACGGACCCCATACTTCCTGACAGAAGCAAGGCTATTTCTAAGTATGACATACAGAAGCATCTGTCCATGCGTGTACAGCCATCTAGCAGAGGTTACAGCCCTGATTGTTTCTAGGATCTGTCTCACCTCTGGTGGAGGAAAGCAGCTGATTTATATAAACACAAACTAACACATTTGAGAATTCCTTAAGATAAGGAAGAAAATGCAACAAGGAGCAAGTACTTTGCATTTACACAGCCTAATCACATCAATTACACACATCTTGTCCACCTGAAGCCTCATTTGAAAGAGGGTCTCCACATGACTAAAGCAGTATGAAAGGTTCAGACCACACTTCCGTGACTTAACTCAAAAACAACCAGGAATGTTAACCAGGTGAGGACAGCACAATGTCCACACCAAAGGAAGCGGATGATGGTGCTCTCCTCAAACTCAGGTGTTTGGTGGGCGTGAAGGAAGAAACTACGCATACACAAAAAAGGGCAGAAATGAACCGAGTAGCTTTTTCTAACCAGGACTAGCAGTGACAACAATAGAGGCCCACAGACATACCATGCTTCCCTGCTACGGATTGTAGTAACTATACTACATAAACATAGTCTAAGGCCCTGCATGGTCTCATCAGTCCTCTACCTGGACTCATGTACAGACTCAACTCTCCATGCGGGCACAAAAAATGTTAAGGTAGGTAAGGCTACCGACACAGGAGGCAACAGTGTGAGCTTCAGTGGATAGCCTTTAAAACCCAAAAAAGCTACTCCTTCACCTCTGTGCTCCTGATCATCTGCTCTGCTACAACTCAGCTACAATTTAATTTCAGAGGAAGGTAAGAGCAGATCAGGAGCGCCAGGCTGTCAGTGAGCACACTGCTGGCTTTTAAGTCTGACTCTCTTACGTAGTAGCCTTTCCCCTTGAGATATTTTAAATTAAAATCCAAGCCGATACAGGCAGAGATCTCATCCCACCTTCTTTATTGAATGGAGGGAGCCAGCATTCCTCCTCTCATTAGGCATGCGCCATGTGGATTGCTTGCAAGAGACTCTCCTTCATGCCAGAGGTTCATGCCAATGAACAGTTTAGTAAATCCTCCTATTCGAGGCCAAAGGGCTGAGTGTAAGAAAGGGGCCAGGTTTCTAGCTAAAATTACATTCACCAATAAAGCTCAGGAGAGGTCAAATTTTGCCATAACTCACTCTCTCCTCAGTAACTGATTTCCCCGTCACTGGGGAAGGAGCAAAAGAAGGAGGAAAAATAAAATGTGTTTGTCTGGGAGCCCTAAGGGCTTTCAGTGCTGAAGGTGCAGAGCAGGTTCCTGGATTCTCATTTATCAACCTTAAAAGGGATGGAGTGATAAATGCACAACCGGCCCTTTAATATTTTATGCAGGTGCTAAAGCGACTTAGCTGTCACCTTCAATACATCACCAGAGGCTGATACACCAGCTTTCGTCACTCCAGGCTGGGAATTTTTACAATTTCATTTCTATTTCCCTCTCTTCACATATTTCCACGTATTTCTTACTATGTGTAACATATAAAAAGCTATTTTCCTCAAATGATCTCCCCATTCGACCCATTCCTACTCATTCCCTCTTCAGCCACATTTCTTGAGCAAGAAATAATGCCACGCTTTTGTTCAAGATTTGTACAAATTTTGACTCTCATCGTTCAAGAGAGGCAGAAAGCTGAAATCACTTTACATTCTGGCAAAGGCTGAAGGTCCTGCCCTTTGTGAAAGGCAAATCTCTACGTCCCTCCCTTTAAAGAGAGACAATGATCAACTTCCACAGCAGAACGATTTACAAGGGTCCCCAAAACACTGGCGCACCTCGAAATCCTCCCTCCAGGAGAGTAGTAGCCCGTATCCTCTTCTGCCCGCACCATTCGTACTCTTCAAAGCGGTTGCCGTTCTCGTTCTCGATGTCCACAGAGTCATCCTCAGTCATGCATGAACCTTCTCTCTGCACAGGGTAAAGCAGGGGCAGAGCGTTGAGATGCATGAAATAGCTCTTTGGGGTTAATAACTCAGGGTGGGACAGAGAAGAAAAGCTGGACTGTTCCCAGGACAGCTAGTATAGAGCAGACAGCAGCATCTACTCCCGCCCCCATTCCCAGTGACCTAAATCTAGAAGTAAATGGGTGCTGGAAGAACTTGACAACCTTAACATCAAAACAAGTTGCAAGGTTCATTATTTTTACATATGGAAATTTAAGCTCTGGTTCCTACAACAACGCTGGTGTGCATTTCAACATGCATTCCCCTGCCTTGCATGCACAATTCCCCTATCATGTAAACCAGAGATTCCTTTGACCCCCAACAGGAATGTTCTCCTAGAGTGTATTTTTTGGGCCACACTGATCAAAAGGTACCTCTCTTTACACCATGCACCTCTTGAGGCAACAAGAATTAATTTCTTATCATCTCTTGTGGGCTTTTCCTGAGAAACAAGCACAGAAAGCCCTATGAGACAACTCCCTCCCCTAGGGCTTGTTCCTCCTTCTTCCTTGCTGTCTCTAGGATGAAGAGAGCAAGAGAACGGTTCTGCTCAAATGCACTTCCTGGAGTAAGATGGTCATGCAACGTTTACAAATGCCAGTCTGATAACAAAAGAACCCAACAAAAAATAATTCTAATGTTGTCAAAGGCAGAGATCAGAAAGAACTCTTCTTGCTGTGCTACACAGGAAGCATGAAGTCCTGCGAAAGGCTTCATAAACTTCAATAGCTCTACCTTTACAGTCTACAACTTAGACTTCAGTAACAGCGAAAAGGGTGCATGAAGTAAAAAAGTTACTAATGCAACACAGGAGAAAAATCCAGAAGAATCCATCTTCCAAGACAAAGAGAAGTGACTACAGATCTCAGGGAGACATAGTTAGCACTGCCTGCAAGCTCAGCAATGTTAGTTTTTGCCCCACGTTAGGTCAATTGCAGACAAAGCTGGGAGTAGGGAGAAGGGAATGGCAACTGGTGATCCTGCTGCGCCTCTACCTTTGCAAGGCATTGTTCCACATGCCTACTCATCTCCTCCTCGGATCCTGACAGAGGTCGGCTGCAGAGGGGACATACCTGCCCTTCGTCTTGCTTCCTCCGTTTCATTTTTCCAATCCGAGCTGCATGGAGAAACCAGGGAAAGAAGACAAAACAAAACAAAACAAAAAAACAAAAAAGGAAGACGTGTCAAGTTTGTAGATCCACTCTTCTCTCTATTTGTTCAGTCCAAATAGTAAACCCTTGGCAGAAAGATTTCACACCAGAAAATCCCGTTGCAACTCCCTATTCTGATCTCCATAAACAGTATAGAGACTGTTACTTAGCACGTTCCAGATTAAACTTGTAACCTGTGGCTGAGTACAGCCTGAATTCAGACAGGCAACTACTCACAATTTAATAACTAGGAGAGGGAATATCTGCTGCACATCCCCAGGTAAGTTATTCAAACAGTTAAAAACTTTCTCTTGGAGCCTGAAATTATTTTCAAAGTTGAGTGATCAAGCCACTGAATCCTGTTCTGGATTTTGCCTTCTAAGTCCGAGACCCACCCACTAACACATCTATTCGCTATACAAGAAATTGCTTAGTCCATAGAAGGATGATGTAGCACCCGAAAAGCCTTGGACAAGGTATACAACAGTCACTTCCAGGACCACAGAGTCTCCTGTACACCCTGAACAATTCCTTCCCACAAAATCACAAACAAGTCAGAGCAGCATCTTAGTAGCAGGCAACATTTACAGAGAGGAAAGATCTTTGTTGTGAAAAACGCAGCACCTATGCTAGATAGCTTCTGGTGCTGTTATTTTTATTTCACTATTTTCATGTAGAGGAAAACTGGGGGCTACACTGCCTTCTTGAGGGCACGCTCTGGGAAACAAACATGTTAGGAATCAGGATGATTAGAAAAAGCAGCCAAGGTAGCCTGTTGCTTAATCCAATCTCTGGTTAATTTGAGCCATCGTTTAATGTGATCAAAACATCTGGAAGCAAATCATTTGCATTAAAAAGAACTTCTGTTCTTTATTATGATGGCTTTAGGCAGGTATTACTGAATAACTCAATCACTGGCTGCAGGAAAGTCGCTGTTTAATTAATAAGGAAGGTCAAAATTCTGAATGAGAGACAAGGAAAAGCCCAAGGAAAGCCCATGTGATAATGAGAGATGACACCACCAAAAAGCTGCATTAACCAGAAATCGTTACTGACATTGTGAGCACTGCAGCATGCTCTGAAAGCCTTCATGCCTGAATACTGTGGGATCAACAGCTCCCTGCAGCCAACGAGTCAGAGAAAGCTGCTGGAATGCCAGGAATAGAAGGACTGGGGTATGGGAAAGCTTCTGTCAATTGTTTTCTAAAGTGCATTGGTTTATAACTCACTTGGTAATGTGGATGCACTAAAGTTTCATCTGAACACACAACACAGACCTGAAAGGCCTCTTTCAGGGCTTTCTTGTTGGCTTCCCTGGACTCAGGACTCTCTGGGTTAAGATATACTTTCCCACAATCCAGAATTAGGAATATTCACCATCCCCTACACCCTGTGATGCTCCTGGATTAAGAAGGCTTCAAATTGTTCCCTGGGCATTGCTTTTCCTCACTGAATGAGACAGATTTGTAGGAAAACTCCCTCCAAAACATATCTTCCCTCCTGGCATCATGAAAAGGCTTCTGCAAATATGACATGCCTAGAATAAGAGACAACACCTGGAGACCACAACGAGAGTGTTTTTGAGACCTGGCACTTTGAACAACAGAGACTGTCAAGTAAATGCACACCACTTTCATCAGTCACCTAAATTTCGTCTGCTGAAGCTCCACAACACTCTCTTGTGTTGGGTACACCACACTGACAGCTCCACAGCCCACCTGCCTCTCCACACACTTCAGGTACTTCAGTATTCCTAGCGGGATATTTTAATAGTTTCCCTTTTATTTTGCCTGGTTAAATCTGTTATTTTACCTATACTGTCAGCTTCTACTCCAGAAGGTAAACCATTTGGCTTCCAGTCAATACAGAAGCAAACATCATGAAGTGTTATTGCTAATTTCATTGTGCCCAGATGAATTATGTTCCACTTTTAATTAAAACAGTAACTCCCAACATGTCTTCTGGGTTTTCTCCCCTTCCTGAACCCCAAAATGCTATCCCTCCTCCGCTTTCAACATCATCCAGTCCTGTTACCAGAAGTAGTCAGAGCTAAGCCATGCTCTTTCTGGTTTGTACTTCAGTGCACAAGAGACTTCTGAAGTTCTGGTTTAGTGAATACCTATATCCTCCAGTACAGCTCTTTCACGTAAGTTTAGGATGCTCCTTCCTTGCCTTGCTAGCACTGCAGAGCCAGCATAAATTGGGGAGGAGGTGGGAATTACATGACTTGAGCATTCTCTAGCAAACACCTATCTGACCAGAGAAAAACAGGAACAAAGCCTTTTCTATCCTGATCACTGACACATCTTTCACCTCATCCTGCTTTTAAACAGGGAAATGTAGGGAAGGAACAGTTTAATTATTCTGGTAGGACTCCCCGTGGCCAATCAATTTGGCTAAGTCAGTCTGCCTGGGGAGTTTATTAGTATTTTTAACTTTTTTACTGCCATCCTCCAGTCCATCCACTGTAACAGTGATAAAAGGAAGACAACTCGTTTTAGGTCTTGCACTGATAAATTCTTGGGACCATTTTGCCAGAACAAGCACCTGATCTACTGTCAAAATGTTAGTGCAGAGCTGGGAACAGAACCTCACTCTGCTCCAGCTCCACGCAAGACTCAGCAGACAGCCCCTATATCTTGGCTCATTGAGCTCTGCCAAGAAGCAGCCCTTTAATTCTAGTGCCACAAGTGAAAAAGCCACTGGAATAAAGAGGTGTTGAAAACAAATCCCCCTGCCATTTTCATTCTGTGGTCATTAGCAGCAGCAGTGTTGTGCCCACAGAGGCCCAGGGTGCCCCTGGTGACAGCAGAAACCAAAAGGGAATGCTGCAGCCTAGAAAGCACATCCTGAGCTGCGCTGTCCCTACCCGACACGACACGCAGCCGGCTATCACTTCCAATCAGCGCAGAAGGGACGGAGCGGCCCCAAAGGCAGGGGGTGATTGTGGCACTGTCCCGAAGGGGAGCAGCTCAAAAGAACACACAAGTAAGACCACAGGATTGTTAATTAGTGTTGATAGATGCGATCATTTCTAATTAGCTCACTAATCCCTCTCCCCCTCACTCCTGTCACAGGAGCATGGGCGGGGGGGGAAGCCATTTCCTCCTGTAATTCAGGAAGATAAAAACACAACCAGTGAAGGACTGGTTGCGAGAAGAGGATGGAGCTCAGGGAAGGAGTTTTTTTGCACAAGGCTGACCCATTCTTATCTCTGACTGAACAAAGACTCTGTAGTTATTATTCCAGCCTTCTGCCAGGAGGTGAGGAGTTCGCTAATTTTTATTAGCATTAGTAATTATTAGTAGGCCATCAGAGGGCTTCCAGCACCTTTGAGGCCTCACTTTTAACAGACATACATTACCCTACACACTGCTCCTGATGCATGTGCATGTCCTCCCTCAGGTTGCATTAAACCTTCAGACACCCAGGGAGTTTAAGTGGCCATAGCATATGAAAGAGAAAGCAGCACACAGAGGTAAGCAAGAATTGGGACCCTCTGCAAGGGCCAGGGTCTCAGTTACGCTCTTTGACTTAACTTAGGAGCTGTGCTGGCTAAAGGAGCTGCTCTTCCCTTTCCTAATCTGGAGTCTTTTGGGACTACACAAGGCGAGAAGCTGCTTGCACTAGAGGACCCACCAAACTGCACTTGACAAAGCCTCTACTGCTGAGGGTACACTGGCCCCTGCCTTCCCACGGGTGCGGAGAGAAGGAGCCAGCCCACCCCTGTCCACAGACACTGCTGCCTTACGGGCGGAAGAGACCGAGGATTTTTTTCTCACAACGGGCTCTCCCCATCAAGGCTAAACCTTATTAATGCCTAAAGATCAAGTTATTCTCTAGCCCAGCAAAACTTCCTGAGAGAAAAGCTAATGGGTTTTAGTTTTCACTGGTACTCCTCTCCCCAAGCAAAAATTCACCTTCGGGACAGGGCACTAATTACCTCAGAAGTGCTCTTACACAGCATCTAGCAGTGGACACTATACAAACCTCTACCGCAGCAGCAAAGGAGATGATTAAGTTACCAGCAATATCTCTTATGATTCCCTCCACCAGTTTTGAGTGGTCCCCCGAGTGCCATGCAGACATCATTAGCAGCTCCTGCAATGGCAGGCCAATCAAATTAAGTGGAAACATTTTTGTCTCCTTTCCAGTGAAAATCATCTAGCTTTATTCCTCCCCCACCCATCAGCCACAAAAGCACATGACACGCTGGTGGTGGTTCGACAACAAACTGCACGGTGCCCACCTCCACGGAGGTCTGCCCAGAGAAGCAGGCCTACGGTCACCACCAATACAGGAAACAGCTTCTCAGGCAGGTGCAAAAGGAGCTTTGTAAGGACCTATTTTACAACTCTACTGAGAATGCCAATTTTGCTAATACCCCTAAATTTGAATCAAAGATATTCAAGCACAAGAGTTACCCCCTGCTTTCTGCAAACCTACCAGAGGAGTCTTGAGGACTGGTTAGACCTATCACAAAGAGCTTCCGTGGCTGATCAACTTATCCAAGAACATGATCCAAGGGAACAAAGGCAGCAATGGCAGAGCACAAAAAAACCATCTCAAGAACAAGCTAAAGCAAGAAACAGATGGTCAAGAATGAATCTGTTTCGGACCTTATGTACAATTTGCTGCTCATCTGCCTGAGAGAAAACATTAAGGGCCAAATTCACAGAAGGGTCTCAGTAGGGATTTCACATTTGCATGGCCAAACTTCCACACGGATGATTTTCAGCAACCTTCAATCTGACACTATTCTCCGAGGCTGGCACATACTTAACCTGCTGAATCCATGTTCTGATACACTAACCCATAACTTTGTGCCTCTAATTTTGAATAACTACCTAACCTGCTCTGCACTGCTAAACTCCATAAGCATCAATTTACAGGGTGGCTTAAAGTTTCCAGTTTGGCAACACTGGAAATAAGGCAAATGAAAGAAATGCCTTCTTTATCAC